ATACGCGGCTGGGCCTATTAACCGTGGGCTTAATAACCGTTGACTACTGTATCATAGTATTTTGCTATACGGCGATCGCTATTGCAAACATATTTAAGTAATATATCCTACATAAAAACGCAATTCAGAATTTCAGTTAACATTCAATGAGATCAGTTCCTGTGTATTTATTCACTCGGCTTGATGAGGGAGCATTGGGGACACCGGACCAATCAGCTGTGACGAAAAATCGATAGCTGGGGTGCGCGTTCTCATTGCCGCAGCGTGACAAGTGCGTTTCGACGCTCTTTTGTGTTGTGACTGATCGTGGGAATGGACGCATTCCCAACAAGTATTGACCAAATTTGGGCCTGACGAATGATTTCGTAGCTGGAATCAGGTAATTTCGCACTGGAAATATTGAAGACCTGGACAGCTTTCCTAACATCACCGGCACGAATCATGTGAAGGCAATTATCTTTACTAAACCCTGTGCCGGTTATTTTTTCAAATAGTAATTATCAACTGAGGTCAAGTGCTTTTAGCAAGAGACAGGCGTCCCATTTTAAATGCCCCATTCTGGCACTAAGACCTTATCTGCGACTCCACAAAGCCGTGGTCAGTGTCCCGGCCACATCTTCGCAACCATTCTTCAATGCCGGGCCAACCTACAGTAGATTCCCTATCTCGTAAAATGTCACCCGGAATTCTGAAATGCGTTTTCGATTCAAACATATTCATTACGTATGGTTTTAAAAATGACGATCATACAGCCTCATCTCAATATATTTAGGTCACGTGAGGATGCCGGCTTTTTAATGACCTTCTTTCTGATCGCTAAGTAAAAGTATGTACTATAAAAAGTGGCTACTTAAGTAGTATGCCTTATTGTCATGATTTTGACTGCCTTTATAAATTCAAATATATTTTATAGAAAACATGCACGGGATTTTGACTGCCTTTATAAATTCAAATATATTTCATGGAAAACATGCACGAAAAAATTACTTCTTGTACTCGTTTGGTAGAAAATTACGCCATCTTTAAATTTTATACTTAAAGAAAGGGTATCTTTCGGTTTTAAAAAAATTTCTAAATTTGAGCTTTCTTACAATTTTCTGGCGTTCATTCATAGGACCTCGTATCCGTCAATTTGTTAATGCCACCTTTATTGTATAAAGCATGCTCCATATCTATTGCAAAATTTTATGAGAACTATGTGAGATCTTCCTCAAGCTGTAGGCGAAAACGTATTTTTCCTTAAACATGTACACGGTGCGCAGTTTGTAAAAATTTAATTCCAGTGTAGCAGTCACTAGGTTTCAAAATAATTCGGCAATTTAGAATTTTTTTAAACCGAAAGACACCCTTTCTGTAAGTATAAAATTTAAAGAAGGCAAAATTTTCTACCAAATGAGTACAATAAATAATTTTCTCGTGATGTTTTCCCAAAAAATATATTTGAATCTATAAAGGCAGTCAAAATCAATGACAAAAAGGCATACTACTTAAGTCGTTACTTTTTATAGTACATACATTTTCTTGGCGGTCAGAAAGAAGCTCGTTAAAAAGCCGGCATTCTGAATTGTCTAAAATATGTTGAAATTAGGCTGTACGATCGTCTCTATTACAACCATCCGCAATAAATATGTTCCAATCAAAAATTAATTTCATAATTCCGGGTGACGTTTCATGAGATAGGGAATTTACTGTAGATGAGTGCCCAGTGCGTGGATCTGCCGAGTCATTATTCCCATTAATCAATTCCTATTTACTCACCCCAAAAGTAGCAGGTTTTTCGGGGAGGGCGTCATGCTTAGATGGTCTAAACTAATTCGGACACTTGTCACTACGTTAAATCCGTAACCCACGGCAGAATTCGACGGCCTTCTAATATGGCTTATGAGCCGTAAGTAGAAAATACTGGGAAAGAAGATAGAAACTGAGCACTAAAATGTTGGTAAAGGACGCTATCTGTAAGCAGATCCATGTGGACTAAAAACACGCGGTAGAAACAATATCCGGAACAACAACCGCCCCTGTTTTCAACATTGTGCTTACACATCGCCTGTCAGAGCGACATTTCTCACTCTGACAGCCTGGAACGTTTGTCCACTTTTAAAATATCCAATGGCCTTTCACCTAACTTTAAAAGGTTTAAAAAAGTTCTTTTATAAAGAAGAAAATACGTGAGCATGAGCGAGAGCATGGACCAATACCAAATGCCACCCCCTCCCCGTCCCCCGTCTACTCGTGGCTAGACTACAAAAACACGCAAACGATTGCTGCTTTCTCATTTTCTCTGACAATGGCCTCTTGTGTGAAACCGAAAGCTCAGAATAATACAATTGCCATTTCAATGATCACATCTTTGTCTTCTTTACAACAAGAACCTGGGGCACGCATATTTGCTTCTATTCATGGGTTCTTTTGAGGAAATTCGTTACATATGTGAGGAGGCTAGTTAGACATTTCTGGACCGCGTGAGTAGGCTTACCTTGGAAAGACCGAGTTCCACTGAGTCCAGAGTGATGCCCTGACTTTTGTGAACTGAAATTGCCCAGGCCAGGCAAAGCGGCAACTGTATGCGGTAGAGCTGAGCACCAGAAGCGGTACCGGCAGCAGAAACGGAACCACCTACACCACTACTGTTGATGGTCCACCTCTCGGGCCGAATCGTTACGGTCTGGCCCTCAGCGGCGCCTGATGAGGAACGGCCAACGGAGAAGAAACGGACTTCAGGAAAGCCACCTTCAACGGCCGGCGAAAACTTCTCAACTACTCCACGGGCACCGTTTACCAGTCCGCGAGAGGTATCCAGGTTACGAATCAACATTACCTACATTGCGCAGTAAGCAAGATGGTAAGAGAAATTAAAATCTTTTTTTATTTATAAAACACTGGCGGCGAATGAAGAAGAGCTAAATTGATTACTCTATTCAAAATTTTATTAAAAGACGGCGAGGCAAGTGAGCAGTCAATACGAAAAACAAATCAAAGTGATGAACGTTCACCTGACCGCTAACTGGACCCATCTGTCCCGCTCTGCCTTGAGTCTCGTCAGAGGCCCTGACAGCCGTAACAGCTGGTAGTATAGGCAGATAGTATTGCCGGCAAAGACAGCGGAGACTGGAATGGCTATTTCTGATTTATTAGCCGTTGTAAGCCAGTCGTATCCAGACCCATGTTGTGCCCCACTCGAGCCTCTAACTCGCGACCTCTTTGATCAGAGTCAAACGCCCTAACGATTGAGCCACGAGCTCGTTGTCTATCCGGTTTAGGTCAGGAGTTAGTGACACTCGTTGATGAATGTTCACCTGACCGCTAACTTATTAGCTTATTAGCCGTTGTAAGCCAGTCAGACCTGGACCCAAGTGGGGCTCCAGTTGAGACACAAACTCGAACTGGCAAGAGAAGTAATAGTTTTTTTTTTCTAAAACAATCCCAGCTTCTGCCTCTTGACTCACTGCGAACGCAGAAAATCGCACTTGATTATTGCATACATAAGACGGTGATGCAAGTGAGTAGTCAACACGAAAAACAAATCAAAGTTCGCCCTGCAGGTTGGCTGGTGCGGATCGAACTTCGCGATCAGCTAGGTCATAGTTCACGCTCTTCCAAGGGCTACAAACAGAATTAAAACTTAGTATCTTGCCGGATTTGGGGGTTCGTTTTACTTCTTCCCAATAGAAACTTTCCACTCCGATTTAGATATATTGTCAGGAACACCAATTGTCTCGGGTTCATAGAGGATGTTGGATCAATGTAGGCTGCAAGTTAGTCCTAAAGAAGAGAGAGGCGGGGGGCACTTGGACGTGGCCCCTTTAGGTATATCCTATTTTGTTAAGGTGAGGAAGCTCCCAACTCGTAAATTTAAAGCATTGCCTACTGTTGCAATAGTCCAAATTTAGTCGAGCCAAGTCAACTCATTTTTGTGAGAAGTGAATATAAAGTACAACAAAAGTAATCGAGTTTAACGAATTCAGCATGAGAACAATCCTCCTATGTTGTTGGATGGGCACTCAACGACCGGCTAAGGGACTCACTCTTTCCGCACTGTCTTGGAGTTCACTCTGGGTTACCGCCAGCGGCGAGATAGCGGCTAATAGTATAGACAGATGAACATTACTGACAACACCTGGGGTCGGGTAGGAATAACTGATGACGGCCAAACAAACCAG